GCCAGGAACCAGAGAGCAGCCAAGCGTCCTGGAAAAAAGGAAAGAGCAGCCAAAAGATTGCTGGAAGAGTCCACCTCGCCGAGAGGAGAGCACAAAAAAGTGCGACTTGAACAGCAAACAAAGGCTGCAAGAACAAGCTACGCTTCTGCTGCTAAAGCAGATTTGGGTGTGGCCTTAACGTGTGCGCGTTCAGGTCACATAACAAAGGAGATAGCTGATGACATCCTCGTGGCCATACAGAGGAGGATGATCAGCGAGGCCTGGAGTAACCAGGACCCTGATGCGTCGGGCCCGGTTTTTAGAGGCAAACCCGTTTACACGGAGGGTGTCCTAAAGCTGTGGTGCGATGACCAGAAGGCTCTGGACCGGTTGAAGGGGAATATTAATACCCTCGACCTCAAATCCAACACCTCGCTGACTATTAAGAAACAGTCAGAGATACCACAAAGAATCAAAGGTATCCTTATCCTGATGCCCAAGGTGACTGGAAGGACTCACGCGACATTGGTCGTGTGCTTGCATACCAGAACCGCTGGGTAAATATCAAGGACTGGCTTCTACTCAAAGCGGACAAACAGACGGACGGGTGGTTCCTCGTTGTTTCGGTGCCGGAGGATCATATCCCGACCCTGATGAAAGCCGGGCGCCGTCTCGCATGTGTATGTGGGGCGGTATACGTTAAATCCCAGGGTCGTGGAGGAAAATTCGTTGATTCCCCACCTAGCAAAGAGGCAGAAAAGAACCCGGAAGTCATGGATACCGTGGCCATGGTTGCCGGAACATCGAAATCACTGGATGTCAAGTCCAGTGAAAAAACTGCCTGCACAACCGAGCCGAAGCCCCCAGTGGAAACTGGGCTCAGCGGCAGCTCACTGAGCGACGAAGAGGACTGCATCTTGCCGTCCAATTCCGACTCGGTGACGATAAACATCGTTACAGAGGCGTGCCCTTCGTCCAAAACTAGCCTAGTGCAGGCCAACCTCCACCATAGTGAGACAGCGTCGGCTCAATTACGCAAGTGGTTGGAGGCACAAAGGACGGCCATAGCCCTAATCCAAGAGCCATGGGTTGGGGCCGGTAAAATTAAAGGCCTAAACAACCTAAGAGGTGAGTTATTCTACAACTCTGAGCACGACAAGCCTAGAGCGTGTATTTATACTACTAAAGATATCTGTGCAAAACCACTAACAGATTTCTGTTCCAGAGACAAGTATGCCATAGCATTACAAAACACACAGGAGGAAAGGTTAGTCGTGGCCTCGGTCTACATGCCTGAGGAAGACACCCCTCCCCCTCACGACGTCGTCAGGCTGGTGAATTTCTGTGAGAGGGCCGGACTAGAGGTTGTGATCGGGATGGACTCCAACGCGCATCATCCCCTTTGGGGAATGGAAAACCTAATGAACGAGGTAAGGTTTTAGTTGAATATTTATTTAGCACTAACCTAACCATATTAAACACTGGTTCTGAACCAACGTTCATAAATAAACGCTGTCGCACAATAATCGACCTCACACTTGCAACAGAAGGAGCAGCTATGCTAATAACGGGATGTCATGTGTCGAAAGAGGCCTCATGCTCAGACCACAGATGGATCTGCTGCGTACTACAGGTCGATATCCCCGCTATACCACCAAGTAGAAATCCCTGCAAGACGGATAAAACAAAATACCTCAATAGGCTGACGTCTTCGCTCGCGGGTGTTGGGGGAACTAATACCATAGCAGATCAATCGCTCCTAGAAGAACAGGTAGCAGCTGTCACTAAAGCCATGATCGATAGCTACCATGAATCATGTCCAGTAATCACTCCACCAAAACATGCTGAGCAAAAGCAACAGTGGTGGGGTAAAGAACTAGACAGGAAACGGAAGAAGGTAAGAAAAGCCCTAAATAGGGCAATGAATACCTCAAAGGATGAAGACCGGCTTCTATATAAGAAAACTAGGTCTGAATACAAAAAATGTATCATGTATCGACGCTCAACAGGGTGGCGCAAATTCTGTGGTAGCATAGAAACCTGTGAACAAGCAAATCGGATAAGGAAAATCCTAGCTAAACAGAACACGCCGGGATCTATCTCTTTAAAGAAACCCGACGGAAGCTACTCAACATCGCCGGATGAAACCCAACGCATCCTAATTGATACTCACTTCCCAGGTTGCTATGTAGTTGAAAGGGTGAACCGGCATGTAGATGCACTGACACCAACAAAAGAAGACTGGGAATTAGCACAAAGAGTGGTGACGATGGACAAAATCCATTGGGCCATTCATAGTTTCCAACCCTATAAGGCAGCAGGACCTGACGGCTTATTCCCGGCACTTCTTCAGTGGGGGGGGGGGGGTAAAGTCCTAATAGTCAGACTTGTTGCCATAATGAGAGCATGTCTGGCTCTTAAATATGTTCCTAGGGTTTGGAGGGAAGTGAAAGTCGCATTCATACCCAAACCAGGTAAGAACGACTATACAGACCCTAAATCCTATAGGCCTATTAGCCTCACATCCTTTCTCCTAAAGACGATGGAGAGGATGTGTGAACGGGAGTTGAGAGGGTCGGTGCTAATTAACTTACCGCTACACGAAAAACAACACGCCTATAGCTTAGGTAAATCAACAGAATAGGCACTTCACCAGGTAATAACAAAGATTGAAGAGGGCCATCCAAAACAAAGCAATATGTCTAGGCTCCTTCATAGACATAGAAGGTGCTTTTGACAGAACAAATTTCTCCAGCATAAAAGGTGCCCTAAGTAGACATAATGTTGAACCGGCGCTGATTGACTGGATAGTAAACATGCTCAGTACACGAACAATAAAGATTGCTGGTGAATCTCAGACAATTCAGATCATGAAAGGATGCCCGCAGGGTGGGGTTCTTTCACCTCTCCTGTGGAATATGGTCATTAATGTGCTCATCAGCAAATTAAACGCTAATCATTTCTACACAGTCGGTTATGCAGATGATCTGACAATACTGGTCTCCGGTAAGACAGCAAGCATTGTGTGCGACCTGACCCAAGCGGCTCTCCGTATTGTGAAGAGATGGTGCAGGGAATATGACCTAACCGTTAATCCAAATAAAACGGTTATAGTAATGTTCACACAAAAACGAATGCTGAATAACTATCATCTTCCAAGTCTTTTCAGCACAAAACTCCAACTTTCTTCCGAGGTAAAAAAACCTAGGTCTTACCTTGGACAGTAAACTCAACTGCAACAAACACATAGAAAACAAAATCAGCAAAGCTAGTTTAACTTTCTGGCAGTGCAGAAACATGATTGGCAAACGATGGGGTTTAACGCCAAAAATTATACTGTGGCTGTACAAAACTGTAATTCGGCCCATGATCACATACGGCTCTCTGGTATGGTGGACCAAAACCAATGAAGCCACCACTATACAAAAGCTACAGCGTTACCAGAGATTAGCTTGTATGGCTGCCACGGGCTGCATAAGGACAACACCAACAGCAGCTTTGGAGGCTATGCTGGAGCCAACACCGCTTCATCTATATATACAACAAGAAGCAACTTTAGCTGCCATTAGACTCAAGACCCTAAATCTTTTAAGTAAGAGTAGAGACCCCATACAGATATAATCAATAGAATTTACTCAAAAATTCCTATCTTACAAAAGTAGGATCCCAAAACAATTTGTATTTGATAAGAAGTACAGGATACAATTGAAGGAAACTGACCATCTGGAAGGATTGGGTCCAATAGAGCTCAAAGTTTTCACGGATGGCTTTAAGACAAATGAAGGTGTGGGGTCTGGGGCTTTCTCTGAAGACCTTAATATCCACATATGCACACCGCTGGGTACCCACAACACAGTCTTCCAGGCTGAATGCATGGGTATCATCCAAGCGGCCATTGCAATAGATACTAGGAAGGTGAAAGATTTCTCTATCAGAATACTGACCGACAGTATGGCGGTACTACAAGCTCTGAGTTGCAATGTGACGAACTCGGGACTGATATACGAGTGCCATCAACGATTGAATGAGGTATGTAAGCACAACAATGTGACTCTGCAATGGATCAAGAGACACAGTGGATCTAGAGGCAACGATGCAGCAGATGAACTGGCCAGAAGGGGATCGGCCCTAGCAACTATAGGGCCGGAACCAATAATACCAATCGCCTTTGGCTACGTTCGTTCACTGGTACGTAGATACTTCAATAATTTACACGCTCAGCTTTGGAAAAATTTAGTAGACTGTAGACAAGCTAGGGAGGCCCTACCTAAAATAAACAGTCGTCTAACCAAGGTTCTAATGTGCCACAGATCAGGATAGTAACAAGTGCTATCACAGGACATGGCTCTTTTAACAAACATTTGTTCACCATAGGTGTTACTGACAGCCCCCTGTGCAGGGCATGCATGGGAGAGGAAGAAACGGCGGCTCACTTGTTGCTGACATGTCCAGAAGTCGCTTCATACAGGGCTAAACATCTCGGCACGCCGGGATCGCTCCCCGAAGTTGCTAGCAACATCAAGGGACTGCTGAGCTTCTTAGAGGAGATATCATGGCTCGAATAAGCATATTATTCCTGCCCACACGCAAAATACGCGCTTAGACGTGGAGTTGCGGAAAACAGCCCGTCGTAAACTAAACTAAACTAAACTAACTGAGATTAAGCGACCACAACATATTTAAGTGGTAATCTACTCTAGGGATGTTGTGGATGCGGATGCAATGCGGATTCATTGCAGATGCAGATATTGATCTTTCATTTATTCATATGTACCTAAAATTTGTATATCTTAAAAAATATTGACATTTGCATCTCCGCATCCGCAACATCCCTGATCTACTCATAGGATAGACAATTAACATTAAGTTTCAGGTAGTAGGTACCTACTCACAATTTTAGGATTCAAAGGATTTAAATTAATCGCAAAAAATAAAACGTGTCACATCATCTCATCAAAAGGGGTCAATTCTCACTGAAGTAGAATCTTATTAGTGACATCAAGAAGAACATTAGAAATAATCTAAATTTCGTTTTCATTTTTGGATTTGCGCTTAGTATTTGCCAGGGTAACTACACAAGAATCGAAGTCGTCCTCCTGATTTGTAGCGGACATATTGTTGATGTAACCCACATGCTTAGCATGGGAGCAAATTTCACCAGCGTCACATAAGAAGCAACCCGTATTTCTCACAGTAATTTTAGGTTTGAACATGTTCCAAAGAACCTGATGCACAGAAAGGCTGCCCCTGAATTGCTTCAACTGCTCTGGAATCAATCTCTCCCTCTCAATTACGTCTTCTTCTGACACTCTTTTAATTATAATATTTCCTAATCTTGATTCCATGATTTCATACAACTGATCAAATTTTCCAACATCTGAACCGACACCATTTTTTTTAGAAGAGGGGGCAAACGAGCATGCGGCTCACCTGATGTTAAGTGACTACCGCCGCCCATGATCAACCGCAACACCAGGGGAATTGCAGGTGCATTGCCGGCCCTTTAGAAAGGAGTAAGCTCTTTTCTTGAAGGTCCCCAGGTCGTATCGGTCCGGAAAAATCGCCGGAAGTAAACTATTCCACAGAGAGGTTGTACGCGGAACTGAAAGTACTACCTTTTGAAACGTACAGTGGTGGACCGCCAAGCATACAGATGGTGTGGATGATATCGGGACGTTTGCCGCGTAGTGCGTTCACGAAATTTGACTGCTGGGATTAATCCAAACAATTCCTCAGAGCACCCTCCATGGTATAAGTGAAAGAAAATGCAAAGAGATGCAACTTCTCGTCGCAGTGCCAGTGAATCGAGCCGATCGGAAAGTACTCGGTCGTCGACGATTCGAGCCGCTCTGCGCTGGATGCGGTCAAGTGAAAGGAGATGGGAACAGTATGGCCGCACATGGACGGCCGAACCTGCGCCTTGTAAAGTTGCAGGCGGTGTGCCGGCATGAAATACTGTCCCGCTCTGCTGAGCACGCCAAGCTTTTTAGAGGCCAATTTGGCCTTCTCTTCCAAATGCCACGAAACTGCACGTCACTCGAAATGTCGACGCCGAGGATTCCGATACTGGCTGAGGCAACAAGGGGAGTGCCTTGAAACTGAGGAGATACGACAAAGGGGTACTTTTTAGCGGTTAACACGCAAACTTGTGTCTTCTGGTGGTTAAACTGGACTAGATTTAGTCGCCCTGCAAAGACTCGACTTCAGACACAAGTTTGTCCCGGCACTCGGATACGTTTTCCCGAGAAATATTGGCTCGGCCGGTGTAAAGAGCATCACCAGTGCTGTCATCTGCATAGCAATTAATGTTACGGGTTTGCAACATATCATTGATATGCAGTAGAAACAGCGTTGGCGATAGTACGCAGCCTTGTGGAACACCAGTATTAATAGGCTTGCCATCGGAGCTTGCACCGTCTACAACGACCTTGATGCTCCGATCTGCAAGAAAGCTGGTGATCCAATCGCACAATTTCTCGGGAAGCCCATAGGAAGGGAGCTTCAAAAGAAGCGCTTTGTGCCAAACCCGATCGAAGGCCTTCGCAATGTCCAAACTAACGGCTAATGCCTCCCCCTTGGACTCTACTGGCTCCGCCCATCTGTGAGTTAGGTAGACCAGAAGATCACCAGCTGACCGACCACAGCGAAAACCGTATTGGCGGTCACTTATCAGCTGGTGATCCTCAAGGTACCTCATGAGCTGGCAGTTTACAATGACTCCATTGTTTTGGAGAACAAGGAGGTGATGGCAATAGGCCGGTAGTTGGACGGGTCTGAGTGGTCGCCTTTTTTAGGGATCGGGTGGACGAAAGCCGTCTTCAATGATTTTGGGACTACGTCTACGGAGTAGGAGTACCGGAAAAGACGCGTTAAAACCGGTGCCAACTCTGGAGCACACGTCCTCAGCACAATTGGGGGGATTCCGTCAGGCCCACTCGACTTGTGGGTGTCCAGAGAGAGGAGTGCTTTTCGAATCGAGCGCTGTGTGAACTGCACTTTCGGCATGGAGCACTCACACCGCGGGATGGTCGGCGGCGTACTCCCCCCGTCATCGAGAGTCGGGTTGGACGCAGAGAAAGAGCCTAGAAGATCGGCTTTCTCCCTTGCGGTATAGGAGATGGAAAAGATGGCTGACAGAAATTCCCCTGGACAGCCTTGTCGAGAGACCAGAATGCACGGGTTCCAGAAGGAAGGTGAACTAGTTTCTCGCCAATTCTGTCTATGTGCTCTGACTTTGCCTTGGCAATGACTTTTTTGAAGCACCTAGATGTTTGCCCCGAGCAGTTGTAGTCTTGAGCGGAATTTTCTTTCTGGGTGACCGTTAAATTAAGTTTGAATCCTTTCAAATTTTATTTGTTTGAAACAACGCCATCTAGAATCATCCATAGACATTTGTTACTAAACCAATCAGATCACAAGTCGATAAAGTCACCGGTAAATAACTGACAAGCAATATTTAAAATGTCATGTTTGTTGTAAATAATGTTAATGTAATGTTGCAAATCTTCCTTGCACAAACGTGTCAGAAAAGCTGTTTTATAATGATTTCTTATATTTACGCGAACACTACACATTGAAATAATATTAGTTTTCGAACGCTTTACAGCACTCATGGTCCCGCCCGTAACCATGAGTGCTGTAAAGCGTTCGAAACGTCGGGTATTTAAAAAGTTAAATATACGCGATAAATTCCGTAAAAACCAGTATTATTTCAAAGCGGTTTTATATTATGTCAGCAGATAATAAGAACAACTGGAAATGTCAGGAATGTAGAAGGAATGAACCTAAGACTGACAATACCTACACACCAATAAAACACAGCCTGCAATTGTCACCAAATAGCAACCAAGACATCGAACGTACAAATGTGACTCTGCGTAGTCGCACGGATGAAAAGCCGAAATGTACGGCCATTTCAACATCCGCATCATCAACACCTGATTTGCCAACTAGTGATCTAGCAAATGAGCTAAAACTATTGCGCCAAGACATCAAAGAAATGTGTAATGATATGCAAGAGTTTAGGGGAACGATGACCAACCTGCTTTCCGCAATAAATGCGTGCAATCAGCGACTTGACTGCCTGGAGGCACGAATGGAGGTGGTGGAGAAAAATTCGCAGATAAAGATGTCCAATGACATATCATTTTTCGAGAATACAATTACGGATCTCAAAATTGAGCTTAATGACCGTGACCAGGAACTCTTAAGCAATGATAGCGAGGTCTCGGGATTACCCGAAGACAAAAATGAACGTTCTACACATATTGCTTTGGCAGTAGCAACTAAATTAGGTATAGCGCTAGAAGATCGCGATATAGTAAGTGCAGAGCGTGCAGGCCTTTTGCGGCGAGAGCAGAATGAGACATCTAGGCCGCGTCCCATCGTAGTGCGGCTGGCACGCCGTGTTCATCGCGATAGTCTGCTAGCAGTGGCGCGAGTCCGTCGAAGCTGCACTACAGTTGGTTTGGGACTCAATTCCGTCGACTGTCCCTTCTAAGAAAGGCTAACCAGACATAATCGTCAACTATTTTATAAAGTACGTACAAAAGTGAAACGCAATAATTGGAAGTACGTCTGGACACGGCAAGGTAAAGTTTTTGCTAGAAGAGAAAACGGTGAACCCCATCATCGAGTGCGCTTTTAAAGCGACTTAATTAAAGTTTTTGGGCAATAGTATTGTCCGGTCCTAAATATGATCTCATTTTTAATGCTAATCATTTTTCCACCCACTTTTATTGTAAATCTTTTTTTAATTGTTGTTATTCTCTCACTTTGGGGGATGAGTCGCTCTCATCCGTAGGCTTCGACCACCTAACCTTAGGCCCACCCTACACGTGTCCCCCGGGTGGTGCTAAACGAGCGACAAAGCCGAAAAAAAAATGTACCCCCCCCAAGAGAATCTCCGGGAGAAAAACCCAAGTTCCCCGTCACGTTCTGTCTCCCGGAGGGGCGAAAAGTGGATTGCGGAAACCCGTATGGCTACGCTGAATGTATGTGGAGGAATGAACGATAAGATGGATGAAGTATGCGAAATGATGAATGACAGAGGAATAGATGTGTTATGTGTGAATGAGACGAAACGAAAGGGAAAGGATGCCACTGCACATGGCACGTATACCGCGTATTGGTCTGGTGTAGGCGAGACCGAACGGGCATGCCAGGGAGTCGGTTTCATCCTTTCAGAAAGAATGGGTCAATGTGTGAAAGAGTATGAATGTGTAAGCCCGAGACTGCTATGGATATGAATGAAAGTGGGCTTAAAGAAGCTGTTCCTGCTAAGGGGTGTACGCCCCAGACATGTCTAAGCCCACTTACATCCGAGAGCAGTTTTGGGACATGGTAAAGATGGTGTTGACAAAATGTAAGGAAAATGAAAATATTATTATGTTAGGAGACTTTAATGGAAGGGTTGGTGTGAAGAGGTCTGGTTATGAAAGGATATTGGGAACGTTTGGTGATGAAAGTATAAATGAGAATGGTGAAGACCTCCTCAACGAATGTGCAGAAAAGAATCTTTTTGTGACGAATACTTTTTTTCGTCATAAGAAGATTCACATGTATGCATGGGAACGAGGTGATGATAGAAGCATGATAGATTTCGTAATTGTGGATGAAAGAATGAGGAGCGCAGCCGTAGATACAAGGGTTTACCGGGGGTCCAACGTAGGGACGGATCGTTACTTGGTCTTATGTCGAATTAATGGTCTTTTCAAGCGTTGGCGGCATCGGACATCTGTGTCTACCACTGCGTTACAGCGTATAAGAATAGAGAAGTTACAAGATGAAGATGTGAAAGAGAAGTATAAATGTAGACTGAGAGAAAATATTAGATGTTTGAATGAGTTGTGTATGAGTGATTTAGACTTGAATACTGTGTGGGATAATATTAAGAAAGGTTTGGTGGATACAGCCACCGAAGTATGTGGTGTAAGTAAGAGAACAAATGAAAGTAAAAGTAATACGTTATGGTGGGATGATGAGGTACGGGTGGAAGTTGAATCAAAGAAGAAAGCATGGTTAGATTTACTAGCAACCAAAGCTGGTAATTCTTCTGTTATGAATGATGAGATTCAAAGAAAAAAGGCAGAATTTAGACGTCTAAATAAGAGAGTAAAAGAAGTTGTTGAAAGGAAAAAGAAAGAAAGAATGGATAAGAATGAGAAGGATATCTGATAATTTCCAGGCTAACATAAAAATGTTCTGGAAACTCGTAAGAACTGCCAGGGAAATACAAAACAGCCTATAATAAATGCTATAAGAGACGAGAATGGATGTATTCTGAATGATGAAGTTTCGAATTTATACAGATGGAAGGAATACTTTGAAAGCGTATTTATGAGTGAAGAGTCGTCTGAATTAAATGAACTAGAAATTCCGAAAGAAGTGGAAAGGGGTATGGAGATAAGTGTAGATGAAATAATGAAAGCAATAAAAAGCATGATAGCAGGTAAGGCAGCTGGATATGATAGAGTATCACTCGAGATGCTAAGGGCTGGAGAGGGAGTGGTGGGAGACCTGCCGTACACCTTGTTTAATTTATGTTGGGAATTAAAACGGGTACCGGATGACTGGTGTAAAGCAGTTATAGTACCAATATATAAAGGAAAAGGGTCACAGCAGGACTGCAAAAACTACCGCGGTATCAGCTTGCATAGTATTGTGGGTAAACTGTATGCTAAGGTGTTAATTGAAAGAGTTATGAAAGAAACTGATGGAAAAATTTGGGATGTGCAAGCGGGTTTTAGAAAGGGAATGGGGTGTACAGATCAAGTCTTTTCCATGCGCATGATTGCGGGGGAAGTTTTTGGCCAAAAACCAGTTCATGGACTTGGAAAAGGCTTATGACAGAGTGGACAGGAATGTGTTATGGCAAACACTGAACTCAAATGGGTTGAGCGCTGGTTTGATACAGGCATTAAGGTCTCTTTATAGGGACTCTAGTGCTTGTGTCAGGATCAATGGGGTCTACTCGGACTGGTTTGGCATCCATAAAGGTGTCAGACAGGGTTGTGTAGCTTCCCCTTGGCTGTTTAACCTATTTATGGACCGGTGTTTGCAAACTTTGAAAGATGAAGAATGTGGGTTAAGAATGGGCGAGTTAACCGTCAAATGCTTTTTGTATGCCGATGATCAAGTCATATTTGCGTCATCGGCGGCTGAGTTGCAAATGATGGTTACATTAATGGACTGGGAATTAAAAGAAAGGGGAATGAACGTGAACGCATGTAAGACGAAAGTGATGGTTTTTGAAAGAGAAGAAAGCAAAACGGTATGTGAAATAAGAATAGAAGGAGAGTTAATTGAGCAAGTGGATGAGTTTGTGTATTTGGGATGTGTATTTAGCAGGGATGGTAGATATGATAGGGATATAGAACGACGAGTAAATGCAGGGAATAGAGTGAATGGGGCACTACACTCTATTATGAAGAACCAGAATGTGTCAAAACAGGCACGTATGGTAATTCATAACGCTGTGTTAGTCCCTACTTTAATGTATGGTAGTGAAAGCTGGGTGTGGCAGAAGAAGCACGAAAGTAGAATAAATGCTGTAGAAATGCGGTCTTTAAGGAATATGCTAGGGTTGAATCTGAATGACAGGGTGAGAAATTGCGTGATAAGAGATAAATGTGGTATGCAAGATGATGTTGTGACCAGGATTAAGAAAGGAATGCTTCGGTGGTTTAGTCATGTGGAAAGAATGAATGAGGAAAGAGTGACAAAGCAAATTTATATGGCAGATGTGAACGGCCGAGTCGGGAAGGGACGCCCTAGGAAAAAGTTTATCGACAAAATTGGCGATATTTTGAAAATGGGCCACGTTAGAAGTACCCTTAACCGACGAGCATGTATGCGTAGATATATGGATGTAAAGGAGGCGAAAGAGGTATGTCAGGATCGTGCCAAATGGAAGTCCGTAGTCTCTGCCTACCCCTCTGGGTGACAGGCGTGAGTGTTTATGTTTATGTATGTGTTATTCTTTCACGTTGCATTGTACTCTCCCCATACATATTGATGTTATCTACATATACTTAACAAATCACATATTCGATACCCTATTTTATATACTCTATGAAAATAACAATTATTCTACTTATTTTATTTGGTCCTCCAATGGACCGATGGCGTCATTTAACACTTCTGTGCAATTTCTTAGATCGTTGTAAGTACTACCAAATTTCGTATGCTTTTGTTTTTAAATTTTTAAAGACTATCAATCGGGTTTTTAAATGCTGGTTCCTTGGGAACCCGCCATGATGAGTTTCTCGCAGCGATATCGAGATTCGACATGGACATTTTAGCCATAAGTGAAACATGGCTTAAGCAAGGGGAGGAAGAGCGTGCACCATCGCCACCAGGTTATCGCTTAGTTCACCTACCACGTTCACCCAAAGTCCGTATGCGAGGAGGTGGCGTGGGATTTTATATTGGGCTTGGTATCACTGCTCGTAGAATTTTAATAGGTAAAAATGACTCTGTTGAGCAGATGTTGATAGGGCTCAATGTTAATGGTATCAAGGTAGCCATTGGTACAGCATACAGACCCCCTTGGCTTAATGTAGATAAATTTATTGATGCACTTACAGATTCGATTTCCTCTATAGCTAATTACGAGCATACCGTCTTACTTGGAGATTTCAATATTGACTTGTTACATACGCATAAATCTAACGCGCAAAAGTTACAAAATTTCTTTAACTACATGAAACTTACTCAGTATGTGAACCAGCCGACCCATTTCACAGGAAATAGTGAAACTTTAATTGATTTAATATGTGCCAATACGAATGTATATTGTGTATCTATTAATCATATTCCCGATCTTTGCAGTCACGCGCTATTGACATGCCAGTTAAATATTAAAAATATTAGAGGACCTCCTAAATTAATTACTTACAGACCATTAAGAGAAATTGAAATTAACAGTTTTAATTTGGACCTATAGAATGGGAAAATATAATAAATGATGATTTAAATAAAATGGTGGAAAATTTTACAAATATAACACGTCAAATTTTAATAAACATGCTCCTATGAGAACTTGTTTAATAAGAAATAAATCACATCCATGGATAACCTTTTACTATTAAAGAAATGATGAAGTTACGCGATAGGGCAGGATTAGGATACACTAAAAGTAAAACTACTTAATTAGATATTCACATAAAATTCTATAAAGATCTGAAAAACGTTGTAAATTCGGCAATACGTAGCGAAAAAATAGCATATTTTCAATAAATATATCAATTTTACTAACAAGCCAAAACTCTTAAGGAAAAAAATATCAAAAAAAGTGTTGCCTTTAAAAAAACTTTAAGA